TATACTTCTCATGTTTGCACATAAGTTCAAAAATCTCACCATATACAACCTTGAAGCAGGACCCTCCCACAATATTCCTTTTCCTGTCTCTTGCTTTCATTCAAGAATCACTCTTTTACAAATAAAATACCAGCCTATCAATAATACTATCTTCTCAAATGAAGTGTGATTCACTGGGCAAAGAAAGAAGGAAACTCTGATGAAAACAAACTATCTGTGGACCTTCTACCTCGTTATTATTGTTTTACCATCTCTATTATTAAAGTAAATGTACTTGCCTTTTTGGCTATTCCTGATGTCCTCTTTTCACTGGAGTTATGTGTTATATTGTTTCACAGATGGAATAGAGAATAAAGACCTTTGGGGACTAGGATTTGATACCTAACCAAACAGCGACCTCACCTATTAGAACAAGTGTGTAATTTTATATAGGATGAAGCCACAGGTCTAGAATTCTGGGTTTTCTTCCTAACAGAGCCAAAAACAAACACTTCACTATTCTGGGTTTTAGCTTTCTTACCTATAAAATAAGCAATTGGATGGGCAATAAGTGTAAGTTTCTTATTAAGAAAACCAGTGAAAATCACTGCCATGTTAATTGAAGCTTCCCTAATACATTCCATGCTCAGCAACTCCTTCAGGTTATCATACTTAGGGCTACAAATAAGGGATGGATCAGAGTCATTATTACTTTCTTTCCCTTCATGCTGCCAGAAGCAACCATAACCAAATAACTGGAAATTGGCTGAAGTTGAAACAATTTTTTAACTTCTTACCAGGGGTTTGACTATGTCACAGGTAAGAATTTCTAACCTAGATAAGAACCCATACATCTTCTTTTTTTTTTTTGGGGGGGAAGGGTCTACAGTGTGTTCAGGGTCTCACTATTAGATCAGACTCCTAGTGATCCGCCTGTTTACAGCCTCCCAACAGCTAGGATTACAGGCGCGTGCCACCACAGCCAGTCTTAATTGCTGTCTCAGTGTACCCGGGATGCGGGCTGGCACGGCAGGCCCAGGGATTGAACGCCTGGGCCCTGCACCTGCTTGCAGGTGCTTTAATCTGCTGAGCTATTTTGGCTGGTCCTGAAAGTTCAGAAGGATTTTTTTTTTTTTTTTTTTTTTTTTTTGTGAGGGGACTGGCTCAGGATGCCTTAAGGGCAGGTCTGGTAAGGCATGAGGACCTGGGGATCGAACCACAGTATCCTGAGCCTGACTGCCTTTGCTTAAGCAGGCACTTAAACAACTGAGCTAATGGACAGGCCCAGAACCCACAGGTCATGTTGGTTGATTTCTCCTATCTCTAAAGCATTCCAAGATGTCATCAGATCATCAGATCTTTCAGTATAAAATAGTTTCTGGTAATCTGGATGTAACTAAAACAGATCACATTGCTTCTCAGTTAAGAGGGCCAAATAGATAGCACTTATTTCCTTTCTTTACAAAGCCTGCCTCTTTCCTGAGAGGAGAACTTCTATAAAATAAATAAATGCATACATTCAACACGTAAAAAAGTCAGTGACTTCTTGTTTTTGACCCTCCTGCCCACCGACTTTCTCATTACCTAGATCTATGGAAGCTTAGATGCAGAAATCTGTGTTTGTCTGAGTTATGATGAAAAGCCCTAACAATGTTATTAGATAACCGTGGTGAATTTTAATCTGATGACAGCTTGTGACCCACAAATTACTATTTAAAATTAAAATGCCCCCAAAATGAAGCTGGCAAGACAACCATAATATTAAACTTGTAATTTTCTGTGATAAAATATCTATTTGAAGCATTGTGTTAAATAAAAGTATAATTATTTATTGTATTAGAATCAAAATTAAAAACAGTCCTTTAATGCATTGCCTTATGAAATTCAAATTGGTTGTATAATCTTATCTTTTATCATTTTTGTGAATTGAGAAGTCAAAACAGAGATGGATTTGTTTAGCTTTGGTAATACAGCCTTGACAGGGCTCCAGGTATAACTTTCTCTTTTAATCAACCAAAATCTTCTATATTCTTTATTCCCAATGTTCATTTGCAATATGCTAGCATGCTCCCAATATACATCATTTTAATTTTATTTATAACTTTAAAGTTATAATCAAGATATATGCAATGTAATAGTTAAAATCGTTTGTATATTAGTTTGAAAATAACTGCCCTGAGATTGTTATTGCTCTTTCATTTATAAAGTTGGGAATTGAGACTTTTGGTGATGATTGACTCAGTGTTATCATTAAACAGTAATGTAAGTAAAACTAACCCACTATGATATATTCATCTCGTATTTTATCATTAAAGAATTTTATGTGGTAGTAAAAGGATTCATACACTGGCTTGCAAGTAAATTAAGAGTCAAATTATAGCTTTTTATTCCTAGTTTCCAGAAAATACTGAAGAACTACAGAACCTTACACCACAATTATGAGAACTAGCATTTTACTTAATTATAGCTTTAATACTCTTCGTGTATATTATTTGCTCAAAAGATTCACGATACATTAGAACAGCATTAGTTAGAATAAGCAAGTACTACATTGCACTCCCACTATTATACACATAGAAAAAAAAATTACACACTCTTTTTTTTAAAAAGGGATATTGCAAGGATTGTCACTTCCCTACCATTATTTTCACTCATTATTCCTGGAACACAGCATAGGCTCAGTCGATGTTAGCTGGAGAAGTGAACGACTATGTGACTGGAGGAGACATGAACTCAGGGAAAATGTCGAGTCTCTGGTTGCTACAGGACTACCACATGGACAACTGCTGTCGCAGCAGGGCTCCTAAAATCTCCCTGCTATGTTTTGTTTTGGTTCAGTGTGTGTGTAAAAGCCAAAAAAAAAAAAAAAAAAGATTCAGCCCGGCAAGTGTATAGAAGTCATGTGTATTAAGAAACCTAGTTTGGTAATGACATTGAACATAAATTTCCCAGATTCTTCCTGAGGTTTGCTTCCTCATGAGTCTTGATATTGGGTTTGGAGTTAAAGCTATTTATACTTGAGAGCAGTCTTGCTCTCACTATTCGCTAGACCTTATGAAATATGTCCCGGAGACAGTGTCTACCCCAGGGTTGTCAGCTTCGAAAACTGATTAGGTTCACCTTTTGCCAGAGGGCGCTGACCGTGGTGCTGAAAGAGAAAACTCCTATTGGGAGTCTTTCCCCCCACTTGCTGGTTTAGAATATTCAAGGGACAAGAGCAGGGACCAGAGGAGCCTGGAGCAGCATCGTGAATGCGAATCATGCATTTTGATCTCTGGTGTGGAGATGTATGCTGTCCACCAGGGTACAGCCTGTGCATCGCTGTGAGCACTCGCTACAGCGAGAGACCTAATGAATGTAAACGCTGCAGCTGAAAAGATTCCATCTAGCAGGATGTCTTGTCTCTCTGCTGAAAAACTGGCAGTCAAGTGCATAGCCTAGAAACAGAAGCAGAGAGGACAGACGCAGCGGGGAGGGGGGGGGGGAGGCAGGCAAACCTGTATTCATACTGAAAATAGTCACTATTCGTACAAGGAGAAGAAAATTAAAGGCTGATTTTAGCTTAAGTTGTCAGCTTCCGCCTTCCAACAGGTGTATTCTCTCCCCCTTCCCTCACATGAACTGCCTTGTTTTTGCCAGTCTGAAGCTTTCCCCCCTTCATTTCTGTCCCAGGCAGGCTGTTCTAGAGCCCCGAAGCATGTGCGGTTTTCCGTCTCATCCACACAGCTCTTAGCTCTGCGCCCCGCAACCCCTTACCTGCAGCGTGAAGATTAAGAAGCAGGCACAGCGCAGGGAAGCCGACCGCTCTCCGCATAGCGTCCACACTGAGAGGTGGAGCAGCAACTCCGCCACGACCCCACTTCAGGCAAAGTGCCCAGAGGACGAGCCACTGCCCAGGGTCCTGTGGTCTCCAAATTCTCGCAGGTCCTCCGCTGGGGTTTGCAGAGCAGTCGGTCCGTGGCACCAACAGAACCAGCACCAGCTTTCTCTCCCTGAGAGATGGAGGGAGGAAGAAGCGTAGGGGGCGGCGGGCGAGGGGGACCGGAGCGGGCGGGGGCGAGAAGCTCTGTGGTCGCCAAGGCTCGGCCTTCGGGAAGCCCCGCAGCGCAGCGGTGACGTGCGGGGACCCGCGCCAGCCCCGAGCCAGGCAGTGCAGCCCAGCAGCAGCCAGACGCGCCGCGGCTACTGAGCATGCTCAGCGCCGGCCCTCCCGCGGCCCTGGAGTTTCAAATTGAAATTCCACCTCTCCGGGTCCTAGCGACGGCTGGAGGGGTGCAATCTCCACCGCAGGGGACAGCTTGGGGAGGTGATTTGGAACGGAGAGTTGTCACTTTGGGGATGGTATGGACTGCAGTAGAATAGATAGGGGCAGGAACACACAAACCAGAGGAGGGAGCTAAAGATTCAGGTGAGAGATCCACCCCTTCCTTCTCCGAGTCTTGATTCACAAGAAGACTGAATTCCCTGCTGGAAGTAGATGTGGGCCCACAGACCAGCTTCCCAAGACTGGTCTGCAGCAAAGTAGGCAAGCTGAGCATTCTCGAAAGATTGGGGAAGTGTTCCAGGGGCAGTGGGTTTGTTGTGAGCAGCAACCATGCAGCCTGTGGGTGTCTGCTTCAGTACCCGTGGCTCCCTGTTTTGTTTCTGTGTTTTCCTTCTCTCTAGCTTGGTACTTACATATTTAAACTTTCTCTAAAATGAAGCCCAAAATTTTATGACCACAGTGACAGAAGTGAGGCCAAATGCGGTTAGGCTCGTGGAATCTGTCTATATCGCTGAAGCAATAGTAGGGACCACTTCGCTTCATGGAAATAACTATATGTAGTCACCATTTTTCCTGCTTCCCATGTCTTGGCTCGTCTAGTCCAGCTCTGTGTCTTCAGGGAAGCCATTATGGTCTTCATAACATACATGCTTTTTAAGCTGCCATCTATGCCTTTGTGGTGTGGTGATCCTTACTGATGTAGTCACTAATTACTCCCAGCCAAGAAGTCCCTCAAGCAGACTTCTCTCTTTTGACAATTCTGGGACCACAGATTCTGCTGCCATTTCCTTAATTGCCCCCGCTTGCAACAGGACCCCACTAAGATGTGCCAACGTCTAACTTTGGTCTCATTTTTCCAGAAAGTTCTGAGCTACTATAGATTATAGGGATCTTTCTCTTCCACAACGTTTTCCTTCAGGTGGTTCATGTGTCTGTGGCACATTGCACACCTGAAGCCTCCTTCAGAACGTCTGCTCCCTGCACTAATTCAAGTTGGATAAAGCGCTTCTGGCCAAATAAGAGGCACTAATAATGAAATACATACCTCATTCAGTGCTTCCTTTCTCTATCTTCTGAGAATTGGGACAGCTAATGGGAAATAGACTCCCTGGCAGAGCTTAAATTAGGCAGAATTTCACAGGAGCTGAGAGCTCAGGCTGTAGCAGTTATTTCTTTTATGATGGATTTCACATGCAGCTCTGAGAGACAAGCTAGGGATGTACTCTAACAAGCAGAAGAAAAGAAGGATCAGGCAGATTTTTTTGAGTACTTTCAAAGGTCTCCACTGTTAAATAAATGGGTATATATGCATCTTCACTCTCAATACCTTCTCCACTTTTCCCCTTGGGTGCAGCAGGCTCTATTTCTTGATATTACCTTTTCATTTTGAACAGGCTTTAACTGCAGCTATTTCCCTTAATTCAGATTTGCTTTTCTTCAGTTTCTTCTTTCCTATATCATGTTCAAATATTCAAAAGAATTAAACTAAATCAGTTGTTTGTTGCCTATCCTAACTCCTCCTTCACCAATGCAATTTGACTTCCACAAAGACAGACTAGACAACTTCATTTACTGACTATCCCAGCTGCCTGTCACAGTTGTGGCCAACCTATGGCACACGTGCTGCAGTGGACATGCAAGCCAAGGTGCCCCGGCATCTCTGCAGCAGCCTACCATTGGCTATTTAGGTTTAATCTCAGGGCTGTTGGCACTTTGCAATAATTAATTGGGTTTTGGGTTGCAGCTTGGGTACCTAGTCTTTAAAAGGTTCACCATCACCAGCCTTGAGCAATCCTGGACACAGTATGTATTCTTAACAGTGAATAAATGAAAAGCAACTGTTGGATCAAACTGGCAATTAACCGGGCTAATCAAAATTCTCATTGAATAGGAGATAATATATTTAACTGTACTTAGAGTTTAGGGGAGTAACCCCTTCTCAGCTAACATCAGTGCTAAAATTTTTGCAGGGTTGGAAGTAGGTAGGGAAATGATTGCAGCCCACTTATAACTGATACATTTCTTTTATTTTCTCCTTTTTTAAAATAATTAACTTCCAAACTTACATAAGTCTCTAAGAAGATAATGCAGTTATGGTTAATGAAACAATATTATAGCAATGCCCCTGAGTACCCTGCTTTCCCGTAGGTAATTCCAATAATTATTTTCAGCCAGAGGACTTAAAATTTAAATTAATACAGTTGGCTGTTATTTTTGTCATCAAGTAGACACCTAGTAATGTATTTTGCCCAGGGCTACAAGTAGCTGGATTGTTAAACTGTGCATTGAAATATCTTTAACTGTGAGATTTTCCAATTTTGAGTTTGACTAGATGTACTACTAGAATAGTTCAGCATAGTAAAAATAACCTTGAGTGAGCTATAATTTTGGTGACTGGACATTCATTATTAATTTTCTTGAAACAGATACAGGAGCAAAAAAACCCCCATATGCATAAGTTGAGAAATGCATATTCATGTGATTGAATAGCATAATCCTATTGGGATGAATCATATATATGTGAAGTCAAAGAAAAAGAAGTAAATTGGTAATTAGTAAAATAGCCAAATTCTTAACTTTTTCAGAAATAGTATGTAAATTCAAAAGTGCCCCTTTTTTTGCCTGTAACCTGATAACATTGAATGTGATTTAGGGTTTAGAGTGGAACACGGCACAAAGGTTCTAATGATTTTGTTCTAATTTAAAGAATCATGGAAATTAGGGAGGCTAGGGAGATGGCTTAGTAGAATAAGCGCTTGCCTGAGTTCAATCCCCGGTTTCACAAAAAAAAAAAAAAAAAAAAAGAAAGAAAGAAAGAAAGAAAGGAAGAAAGGAAGGAAGGAAGAAAGAAAGAAAGAAATTAGGGTAGCACAACCATGCAATTAATGCTGTCCTACAGAGATACATCTTTAAAAATCACTTATAATTTTAAAAGATAAGTAAAATAATTGATAATCTTCAGAAATGAATTACCTCTATCTTAGGAAGTAAGGAGGAAAGCATCTCAGAGCCTGCTCTCAAAACAAATGTAACCACTACAAACCACCACATTAATTAGTCTACAAATATATGAAAATTATTCATGTAGGTTGACTTTCTTTAGGACCCTTTGAATTGAGACAATGAGTCTATTGACTGTTAGAACTTCCTCTGGTTATTTGTGCCAGTTATTTGTATTCTTGTTACTTGAATATAATGATGGGTGATTTTGTTTTGTTTTGTTTGTTTTTCAATACCGGGGACTGAGCACAGGACCCTGCACTTGCCAGGCAAGCACTTATTCTACTGAGCTATCTCCCCAGGCCCGATGGGTGATATTTTTTTTGGGCGGGGGGCAGAACCAGGGATTGAACTCAGGCCCTTGTGCTTGCCAAGGAAGCTCTTATTCTACTGAGCCATCTCCCCGGCTCCATTGATGGGTGGTATTGATAAGTCCTTTCTACACCATGATCTAAGCAAATGGATGTTCCATTTAAAACTTCTATTTCTATAGGAAGGCACTATAATGATCCCATTTGAGAGATGAGACAATTAAGTCACGGAGAAGAAACTTGTAAAATCAATTAGTATGCAATCAACCAAAAACATGTGATAGTTAGGATGTGCATGGGATAATTTAATACCAAACAACTATGATACACTATCTCTCATGCAAAACCACACACAGACACAGATGTACACACATATGTTCAGCTGAAGATGGATTTCTGGAATTAGATATTTAGCTCAGTCAGAGCATGTATGCTAAAATTCCACCTGCAATAAAACAGCTCTGAGAAATAACCATAGAATATTATTTCTAGGAGAATGCCTGTGGCGGTAGACAATTGGCTTCAGTATCTAAGGAACAAAGGCAGACTGGAAATAAAATCATGGTTAGAAAACATATTAGAGGGGATGCCTAAGGTAGAATGGAGCAGAATGCAGGAAATAATATTTTTCTATGGAGGATGGAACACAAACTGAGATAGATAACAAGCAAGAAACTGTTATTGGAGAGTAGGGGAAGAAAAACCCTAAAATTTACAAAACATATGGTGTCACATGAACGCTCATAACAGCTCTTAGTATTTTCCTTTCATGATGGAAAAGATGCCTGAAGCTGAATGAGGCCAATAATCTGACCACCAATAAATAGTGAAGCTGGCATTTGAACTCAGGTCTAGTGCCCGCCAGCATTATGCTGTTAGCAACTGTATTATAATGGCTCCCTATTTAATGATGGGCCTTACTTCCATTAGTCAGCCATAAAGAAGAATACAATCTTATCATTTCCGGCAAAGTGGATAGGACTTGGGTACATTATGTTAAGTGAAGTAAGCCAGACACAGACAAGAGCCTCGAGTTCACTCTCTTATGTAAAAGCTTAAACATAGTCAACCTCAATGCAGAAGAACAATTAGTACAGGTTTGGAAGTGTAGTGGTAGGGAGAGAAGATAAACGGAATCTGGATCTGATCATTGTACTCTGAATTCATGTGTTGAAATATCACATTGAACCCATTAGAAGTATGATATAAAAGATGCATATAGAAATAGATTTCTCTGGG